CTGAACCCAGGTTGCATCCTCTTCTGGTTTTGCATCACAGGCTCCTGAGCAGAAAAGCAATGATTGATGTGAGCAATTAAAAATTGTGATTGGTATGGGACTGAAGAATGCAGTCCTACCACAGGAAGGATGTTTGAGCTGGGGTTTATTTCTCCCTCAGCAGCACTATCTCTCACAGTGCTTTAGCAAGAACTGCTGTGGGGTGTTCTGCATAGGGTCTCTGCTGCAGGATCTGAGAATGCACAGGTTTCACTGACTGTCTGCACCTGCCAGCCTGACACCAGCAGCCATAGGCTAAATGTTGCAGCAGAGGCAGGTAAAACCATAATGTTGATCCTACCTACTCTCTGCTTGTTGTTTGCCTGCTTTCATCTGCACATTGTACACATATCAGCAAGTTATTTGCCAGCTCTCTTCCTCCAAAACTAACAGTGTTAGTTCATGTGTTCTATGCTTTATTTTTTCCAAGTTTCTATCTTTCATGCCACAAGTCTCTGAATGTTGTTGTAATAACTAGATAGAATAACAGCAAACCTCTCCTGAGCTTGGAGCAAGAGTGATTTACATTTACAATAATACACTAAATAAAGGAGCAAAAACATTAAGAAAAAGCACTAGAATGCTCAAATTTGTTTAAATTTATAATTAATTGTAAATTGAGGGACCCTCTCATAAATGTATGCCTAAGCACCTGTGTTGAGCACTTGACTCTAGATTCTCTAAGCAGAGAGTAGGTGGTGTGGCTCAAGATCCTGTGTTCTATACCCACTTCAAGGCAAGATCAGCCACACCCTGAAGTACAACTTCTTTTCAAGAGCCATGGAAGTTGTTCAGACAAGGGCATCTCACATCGATCATCCCTATTAGCTGGGCTAATACATGCTTTAGCAGCAACAGAAAAAACAAGTTTGGGAGCACAGGTAGTTTCGGGGCTTTTTTTGGCTCTTTGCCAGAAGAACCCAAATTTCAGATTTGTAGTAGGATTTTGGCCCACTCCAAATGCTCACAACTTGGGCCTGGTATTTCTCAGATAAATTATTTCCATATCTCCTATCAGGCTGGTGGCAAGGCTGTCCTTAAGGTGTGCAAAAAATAAAAAGGAAACCAAGTGCTGTATGGGGAAATCAGAACATGCAAGTGGAAAAATGACTCTCTAGCTCAATGAGAAAGAAAATCCTTCCTTCCTGTCTGTTCAGTGCCATTGTTAGGAGCAGTCTGAAAGGAGGCCTCATGCAACAACTGCAGAGTGCATAGCTAAACTTCTGAGGTGGAGTAGGCACGAAAGCCAGATCTGTCATTGTCTAATCCACCTTTACACCACTACATCTAAAGGACTTACCACAGCATTTCCAGCCAGCTCCTCCTGCAGTTGCTCTTGCTGTAACACAGGTTACGCTGCCATTGCCAGGAGGCATGCATCCTCCAGCAGCTGCAAGTGCAAAACTGGTGCTCAGTGTGTACATCCCACATGGCCTTGCAAGCCTGCCAGGGGTGCTAAAAGCCCAGTTCGTCTTTTTAACATCTAAATAACTTAGGCCATACAGATTGCTGTGCTAGGTTTAGAAAAAGAAAGGATTTGTGGATTGCTCTCTTTAGCTCATCTGATCTCAGCCTGTATTTTTCTTTAGATACCTTCTATCCTTGCCAGAGCTGGGCCTAAGGTAACAGTAACAACTTATCTTGTCACAGCAAGAGAGGTACAATTAATTCAATGAGTGGGTCTAACAACATAAACAACATAAGTTTGCACATACCACGTAGAAACAGCGGAGTTCTCATTTAACTTCTTATTTTCTTCTGATGCATTTCATCAACTTCATCATCATGCACAGCATAATTCTGTTACTATAGTAAACAATTTATCTCTCTCATTTTATTAATAGTCATTCCAAACAATTAAAAATTTGAATCTACAAATTTAGGTTTATGCCTTTGGCAAAGGCAGCCTGTTTTGTAGATCAACAGATATAACTTTCCTACCCAGAAAACCTCACTATCCAAGGCTTGTGTTATGTTCACACAGATGTTCACAAACAAATTCAGTCTATGATTATTTTCAGATTAATGACATCCTGCTTATTAGAGCATTGCCAAATCATCCTTTTATTGCCAGTCTTGCAAGGTTTTTGTGTTTGTTTTTTTTCCTAAAGCTCCAACTCTAAAAGACCAAACCCATCAGTTTTCATTCCTAAAGTCTCCAGCAAGCCTTGTCTCAAGTTTGACTCATCTTACCCTAGGGGCCCAAAGAACAGAAGTTAATTGTCACATTTTCTTAACCACTTTCAAGACTTTTAAGGGTCTGACTCATGATTTCTAATGCCTACAGTTGGCAATACTGCATATACATTACATGTGTCACATCATCCATATGCCAGTAAACAAAATCTTTAGGAAATGTCCAATTAGTTACTACTCACCCTGTTTATAATAAATTATTTTTAAAAATAATGTTCAAATATCTGGTATGAAGAAGTTATATCACTGCAGTAGTCACAGCAACAGAAAATAAATTCCTCATTAATCTGATTAAAAACAATTAGTAAAATCTACCTCCTACTCAAACATGCATATGAAACCTAATCAGAACTACTTTTGATTCCTTAACTCAGCAGCCTACAAAACAGAAGGTAAGCTATGAAAACCCTTACTAAACATTAACTATGCAAGCATTTGCTGTACTGCTGTCATTCAAATATAAACCTAAGGGACAACTTGTGAAGGTTTGTTCCATCTAAGGACTCTGTCATTGTGTGCTTACAAGTGCCCCCAGCCCACCAGTGGAAGAACCTTGCAAGGGCTGGAGGCGTTTTGGGGAGAGCTGCAGGTTACCTTAGTCCTGCTGCTGAGAATGACAGCTTCACCAGGCCAGCCATCTAGCAGATTTGTCATATACTCCATTTCTAAGAAGCTTCTGCGAAAAGAAGGGCAGAATATTTGTTTATAATATTGGATATTAGTATTTCTATATTTGAATTAAAATTTATGGCAAAATTTGATGTTTTGATTACTCATGTTAACATTTAATCAGTTTTACACTTTAGAGAAAGGCTCTCATTTATAATGCTTGATATCAAGTAACCAGAATCAGAAAGCCACATGTAAAACAAAAAGACCCCCACCATATAAACACATACAGTGAGACTAATTTCGGGAATAATTAATTATCCATTAGCTCAATTAGGTATTTATATAATTCAGTTCACCTCTTTCATTTTGGCTCTATTTTTGAGCCTACAAATAAAAATGTAGTCTATGTTGTACAGATGTGATGGTTATACCTCAGGATGAACCAGAAACATGTAAATGGTTAAGCAATATATGTGCTCAGACTTGCTTAGTCTTGTCTCCATGAACCTCATAAGCATGTTCTCCACAACCTTCTACACTAATAGAAAGAGTCTGAGAGAAATAAGCAAGGAAAGAAGGGAGTAAAGAAAGAAAATACTAGGGAGATATTTTTGTTTCAAGGACTTTAAAGATTATTAACTTAATTATCAGATTGCCAATTATTAATAGGTTATAATTAAAGACTAAAAACTGTTTAACAAATTGAACATCTACTTGACATTATCTATTAGAAGCCCAACCTGCATACTACTACTGTAATGGAAGGGCTGATGCTCATTTTGCCATGAACCAAACACGTTTATCTCCACATTTCTTGCTACATAAACACACTTTGTTTTCTGGCATGACACTGAAATATCCCCAAGAATACATTTGTATGATTCAATGCTTTAATACCTGGGTTGCTTTCCCCAGAATTAGATCCAATACCTTGTATTGGTTAAGAAAGTAATTTTTAATAATAACTTCCCACAATTTCTAGAAACAAAATGGCAGAGAAATTACTCCATTCCATGGAATACATTATTGAAAGCAAGTTTTAGTGATGGGATTTATCAATCTGCACCTGAGCATCGTTCATTTTCTTCACGCTGTTGCCCACCTCACATGATCTAAGCAACCACACCCAACTGACAGACAGCAGGAACAATGTGCACTTCATTTTCTCCCTGATTCTTTTTAAGACAGACTTCTTTTCATCTTTGAGCACAGTGAAGTTTGTACTTCACTGATTTTATTCAGCTTGCTATAATCTTTACCCATAATGCAAAAAAATCATCTGCTGTGTGAGTTAGATGGGGAAAATACATAATGCATGCAATAGAGAGAATGCATTGAGTTAGATCTTAGTAAGCATCTACATCTGCCACTCAGTCATTGCTGATAACATTTTCCTAAAGCCATATATATTCCAAACTTTGGCTTAGGATTTGGGGGGAGGGGGTGTTATCACTGAAGTAAAAACCACCAAAACCTGAGACAGAAATATCGTAGCATTTTTACCCCTGACTCTAGCAGTGTAGTACCTGTATTTACTAATTTCATACAGAAAATGCACACAGCTATATAAAAAGCAGAAAATCCCTCCAAATTCATTGTTTCATAAGTGAAAAAGTTGACTGTGTAAGCACATCAAGGTTGTACTGATTATGGTCAAATGAACAAATGTAACACACCATCTATCACTGTTGTTCCTGGGAACCTTGAGACACAGATGTATTAATGTATAAAACAGAACAGGTATCTTGACTTGTTTATGTCATTAAGTGCCACCACAAAGATTCTACAGTACACAGGACAGAAACATAACACATTTAGCCAAAGCATGCTTGTGCTGTGGCTATTTGGCATTTTATCCTTGAATTTAGACTAACCTTTGTGTGCTCTGAAGTGCAATCTTGCTTTCTGCCTCTGTTATAGGTCAAGTTGAAAGTGATCAAACATGCAACAGCCCGAAGTTTAGATAAGGCTCTCTGTCCAAGAGCTGTCAGTATTGTGCTTTCCTACTAACAGCTACCACAATAAAGGCTTGACTTGAGATTTGGTGAAGGATAATAAATGTTCCTTCCTTCCCCCCACCTTGAGCAGCTTATTTCCACCCCAGTATAGGTATTTTTAGAAAATGTGCTAAAGATGCCACTGGAGAAAATGTGTAGTTTTCACAAAATGAAGGATTTAATACACATATATACATTTTAACTCCAATAACAATCTCCCCGGCATTCTTCCCAAATGTGTTGATAACACTTATGATATAAACATGAAAAGCAGTAACAGCTTATTACTTCCAATCAGCTTTTTATTTCCTCCTTGACTACAAACATTTCTCTCATCATAATCCAGAGCAAGGTTATCCTACACTAGTGTTTGACATGTTCCTGTCAAATGTTCCTGACATAATGGGCGACGACACATTTGCTGTTAGCCCACACCAAGTCCCAAGTGAAACCCTAACAAATGCATAAGCTTTTAGAATGGGACATGGAAGATATTCTTCACTAGCACTTGGTCACATTTGTATTCATCTCAGTTGAAAAGGACCCCTCATTAAAGCCTAAGCTTTAAAACAGGAGCTTGAAAACACACTAGCAAAATGATAGGCAATGTGGCAATTCTAGACAGTGCACTTGAAAGAACAGTATTGATTTTTTTTTTTTCCTGAAGGATGATAGGTATAGAATCAAGCTTAAAATCAGGAATAAAACAGAAGAATATTAAAGTTATATTTTATTTATTCTTCTTTGGTAAACTATACTGTCTCTGTAAAGCACCTAACATATGGTCAGTTTCATAGTCCCGTGGCACCACATAAAGTTCTTCAGACACCTTCCAAAGTCAGAGCAGATACTGGAATGAGTCCTACGAGTGCAGCCCAAGCACCTTGGGCACGCAGGGGGCAGCTCTCTTCCCACCCATCAGCTGCATCATGGGCTTCTAAACCTAGGCTGCATTGTTCTCCTCTGCCTTTTCCCAAGAACAGTCATATCCAAAGCCCAACATCACATTCACTCTGGGAGCAAGCCCACTCTTGAAGGGAAGTGCAGGACTCACCTTCAGCATAGAGACTGACCAGTGTAATTACACTGGGATATTTTCCTGAAATAAACAAACAAAACTGCCTTCCCTTGAAAACAGAGCACATGTGACTTGTACAAACAGGTATGTTGGTACAGGAAACAACAAGAAGAACAATAACTTATTGATAGTTCAAGATGTGAAAAGTCCTAGATATATGCTTTGCAAACATAGAAAAAGTTTCAATCTTATCTTATATAATGAATTATTGTGTATTGTTTGAAATTCATATAAGTCCTTTTGTTAATGTTAAACCCACGTGAGTCTTTCTCTTATTAGAGTATAAGACTTTGCACCTTTTCTTTTATGCTATTAGTTCAAAGAATATGTAAAAAAAGGCTTTACATAAGCTACCATCTTGTCTTTAATCTAGATTTGCATAGATGTTGTTATTTTCTCTGTGTCTCTTACCTTTTACTTGTATGATACAGACAGATACTAAATCCTAAGTCTACAACCAGTCAGAGTCCCATCCTGTTTTGTAAGACACAGACCGCTCCGGCAGATGGATTATCACTGTGCATTAACCTGCTTCCGCAGCCCAGCTCCTCTGCTGCAGGACCATCTCTGAAGTGTGCTGGCAGACTTGCTCCTCTCAAGGCTCCTGTAGCCTGCTTCAGTCAGGCATATTCCTCCAGCTAGTCCACACCACTTTGACTCAATCAGGTTAGAAAACCCTACAAAAACCAAGTAAATAATGACAAATACTTAAGTGCATCTTTCATCACCTCAGACGGATGTGGATGCCATCAAGCATCTGATCAGTCAAGGACATTCAAAAAGTTCCTTCACATTCACACTGGCTGTATAATTACACTATTAAGCTTCCTGAGCCACAAGAACCCTTGAACATTACATTCCAAGTGAATTTTGGAACCCACTTTGTTAAGTTTCTTCTATATTAGAAGGCTAGTAAAAATTACCCCTCTTGAGCACTCTGTTTCAAGTTTTTGCAAGTGTCTCCCCTGCTGCAGCTTAAAAAAAAAATTTAAAAATCAGGTATTAAAATTTTGAATGCCATAACTGAAGAGTGATAGTAAAGGGGGATGTCAAAGTTGCACATTACTGTAATTGAATATTTAAACCTAAACTTTTAAAATTCAAGTATGTATTTGAATATGAAATTTATATTAATTAAAACTGTCAAGAAGCACAGAGGTACAACTTTTCTCCAAAGTTTTTGGTTTTTATGAGAGTAAGATAGGTTGTAATATTATATCCAACAGCAGCCTCAAGAGAATTTTATGAAAAATTCTGTTTACAAAGACTACACTATAACTGGACCATCAGAATTTTCCCCCACTCACATCTTTTGAGCATCTCCATAAGACAATACCAACAGTGCTTCTGACCCCTCGATGCAGAAATTTCATTTCAACAGTTAAACAAAGTCACACAACAGGACTCAGTTCATAATGTGTCTTATACTCACAAGCACAAAAAAAGGGAACAAAACCAGATTTGTCCTATTATACATGAGCATTCTTAAAATAGAAAGGATTAATTTTGAGGTTTCAGGCAGCATTCCTAGACTAACCTCATGTTAGACAGTTCGTTCATATTTTGTTGAATTGTCTTTTAGAGAAACAGCATTTAAACCTAGAATGAAACATGTTGGCAAAATTTTGATGTACATGGATTCTGCTAGAGATTCAAAACTTTGGCCATTTGAGAATGATGAAAGCTTACAAATATGGGGTTTTCTTGGTACAAGAGAAACATGTTGAAAAAAGAGTAGTGCTGATATATGGCAATTTTTAGAATTAACAATCACCAAATCTGCATGCATCCATGCCAAACACTGCTTTAACAACTGAGTTCAACAGACTCTTCATAGAAGCTTTTCTAAAAAGGAGAACCTAAATTACTAAAACCTGGGTAATCCTTATCTTTTGAGTTCAAATGCTTGAGCAGACCACAGAACTCTGAAAGGTGACAATGAGTATCAAGAGCAGATTTTACATTTCTTTTGCCCTCTCAGCCTAAGCTTGCAATTTATGTTTGAAAGATAATGCCTTCAAATTACTAGTTTCTGCAAATGTGAGGAAACTTGAGCACCAAATTACAGGTGGAAGTTTTCTGAACCAAGGATTACAGAGTGATTAATGCAGCCTGTAAACCAGAGTCCTGTTTTCTCTCAGTGCTTTTAAAATCTGTGTCTATCTTGATACAGCTGAGGACTTTGAAGGCCAGTGTTCTAAGTCCTGCATGCACTTTCCACAAGAATTATGTTTCAATTAATTTCTCCTGAATGTGTTGTCACATTTTTAGGAACTCGGTTCTCACTGAACTGCTATTTCCAGAGCAACAGTGTCTAAAAAAGTCTAAAGAGACATCCTTCAAGTCTGAAGAACATCCATGCTACAGAAAGGGCTCCTCTCCATATGTTGTCAGTGCTCCCACCTCTCATTATGCACACTTAGCACCCTCAAAAATACTAATTGAGCATGAACAGGATGTTTTAGACAGTCAAAACCACACATTCACACAGCAGCCACTGTGAACTTTATTAAGAAAATAAGTGTTTGCCAATTAAACTGCAACGACTTCACTGACTTTCCCATTTACTTGTAGATTATCAGTTCTTTCATAACGGCTGTGGAAATAATTTATTGCCAGGTAAATGCCCAATCCCTGGCTCTGTATGGTCTGCCCAGAACCCTGTCAGCTTTACCATGAAAGGTCTATATACACCTTTGCAAAATGCAAAGTCAACAACACATCTTTCATTCAAGCAACAAAGTCATTTTTGAGGCAGATGTCACGCTAGCCAAATAGCAAAGCCACCTTTACATTAAGCAATCCATTCTATCATGACAGTTCCACAGATGAAATGTAATTTTTAAGAAAAACAATCCATAAGATATCAGTCACAAATTCTCTTCAGTTAAAACTGTTTAGTCAAGAATTATTTCTCAGGCAGGAGAGGCTGAGCTACAATGAAACACAGCATGGTGATTTATCCTCATGAGAATGTCCTGTTGCCAATGCATCTGCTTTTGCCTCCTTTGCTTTTTATTACTCTGTGTAGTCCTGTGCAGTAAAGTCAGAAAAAGGCTTCTTCATTCATCTGGAGTCAGATTTATATCCAACCCTCTAAATAACTCGCACCACTGTCTATACAAATCTCTGAAAAGTAGTTCTCCATTCCTAGGTAATCCAACCATCGTAAAGATATTTTCCAATGTCTTCAACTCCAGAAGTTGTTTTAATTCCTTTCTCATCTTGTAGCCATGTAGCAGGATAGCATTGTCATGGGCTATGTATAGTAGGATTTAATCCTTATGAATAGCTTCAGTAGATGGCCCGAGGATTTTTAGTACTGTAGTAGGCTTCACATGCAGCTACATAAGCAGATTCTGGGAAGAAATCATCATGGTATTCTGCTAAAAACCTGAGAAGAAAGTACATAAAAAAATAAGAACAGAATATGAAACATTTAAGAGAAAAGCTTTTTTCAAATTGATTTTTAAGCTCAGCAAAAACACAGCCTGGGAATTAAGAATTATTACTCTTCGAAATTTGGCATATAAAGGATTTGCCCTATTTTTTACAAGTTTCACATAGTGAGAAACAGCCTTCCTCTAGCATTCTGAAATTCAAGCAGCATTAAAAAAAATTCCACAAGCTCAATAACAAAACAAGAAACAAAATCTGAAAGTTAAAGCTATACTCAGAAAAAGAATTCAAAGAACTAGCACAGAAGGAAAAAGAAGAGCTCTTTCTGCAACTTCTGTAACTTACCTGCTGAGCACACTACTATAATTTATGCCCAAACCAGTATCCTCAATATACAAATAGCCAGGAGCCATTAAGTCAAACTATATCTTTTAAGGCAAGTAAAGCTATGATTTTTCCATATGTTTCATGTGCCTTTAGGGTCTCCATCTTTCAGAAGCACGTGATTTAAATATGGGTTTCAATGACAAAACACATCCCTCACAAATTCAGTTTCTTAATTTCTTACTTCTGCAAAATGGTCTGCAAATACTATTCAAACCACCAAGCACCCAGTATTTTCTAATGTTTTCCTGCTCTGCTAACATACAACTGTTTCTTTGGTTTAGGACTGAAAATTAAAATAAACAGTGCTGCTACAAACACCAGTAACAAACAGCTAAAATTACTATAAGGGCTCTGCTCCTTCCTTGGATTTCAAAGACACTGGGTATATAAATGGGGGCAAAGGGGCAAAATGGTTATTAAACTCAGGATTACACTCAAGCTGTACTTCAGAAAAAAACACAGACCTTCAAAATATCTGGATATTAAATATCAGCATCAATAAACATGGCAAAAGTGTTTTAAGAGTAGGAAGCAAAAGAAACAACAGAAAACAACATCATTTACAGAATCTGTGTTCTCACAAGAAACAGTGGCTGGTGTGACGACTTCACTATTGGAAGCTGAAGAAAATACCAGTTTTGCATAGCAAATACTTTGGACATAGAAAGTCCAAAAAAAAAAAAATGTTCCTGTGAATGGCATAAAAACTACAGGCATTCTCCAACCTTACTCACTGCTGTACTGCTTGAACTAGGCATGTTCTTTGATCTGAACAGAGCCAAAGCATCAAAGAGTACTGGCAAGATCCTCTAAAGAAAGCACTTTAAATTTAATAAGAAATATATTAATTGCCCAGAGCTCACAGAAAACGGTTACAGTACAAAACTGCAGATAAATGAAAAAGGGTTGATTTTCCCCCAGTCCTTGCACTTGAACACAGGCATCAAGCAAGTGTTAAACTGGAGGAAGAACCAGTTACACCCTACTAATTCTAGAAAAAGCACTGAGAAATAGAAACTCTTTTAGAAGAAATCAATCTTTTTTGGTGTCACCATTAATTTAAAAGGCACATTGTCAACTTCTTCCATACTTCCTCATTTCACAGCAGCTCTGCAATTAACAGTATATAGAGGGACCTAAATGGCTTCTGATGCAAAATGTTTCAAACCATTAAAAAAAGAACACTCAAAATTATAGCAATTTAGAAGCTAATAAAATACCCAAGTCATCAACTGCTATGACCTCTGACTTCAGTTAGCTATAAATCACTTTCTAGGATGAGGGTTGGTATGAAGCAAGTGTGGAAAAGCCAAAAACTTAAAGAGACTTCAACCTAACTTTGAATGTACTAAGATTGTATATGGTTAAGATGAGCCACAAGTGGTATTTAATAATTCTTCATTAACACACATTAATGATTCCAAGACATTAAAAAATTACAGGGGCTGATGAAAATCTTAGTATCTTTGGATAACATCCAGTAAAACACAGTACTAAGAGCTAGATCATACAAGGAAACGTGTTTTAAAAGAATCTTCAGAGGGCATTTGGGTAGCTGACAGTTCCAAGGATTTGAATGGCAAGTAATGGAAAACAGGTTCACTTTCTCTTACAAATTAACTGACTTTTGCTTAAACCATCAGTCATACATGCCAGTTTGGTGCATGCTCAAGTGAGAGCTGGTACAGATGAGAAATTTTAGCTGAGATGGTGTGCCACAGCTACAATGCAAAAAAAAAGGCACACAGTGAAACATAGATCTCCCTGTTCTTCATGTAACAGTTGTGAAAAGCAAAATACCCCGGAGCTAGCAAACACAACTTATTTTCTGCAGAGAAGTAGGAGAAAACTACTGAAGGAATGCAGTCGGCCTCTGTCCTAATCCCTTCTATACCAGCATACAAAGAGCAGGGGCCCTTCTGAAGCTGCTATTCAAAATATATCAGAGCGCAGAACACTGGCACAGAAATATTAGGAGTCTAAGACTTTTGCCTACCAGATATTTCACTATTGCTTTGCTCTTGGACAAGCTAAAGCAGCATCAAGATCAATTACACTGTTACCTGAAAGTTATGAGCCAAGATTAAAAGACAGAGGGAGCTGTAATTAGCAGACAATGTTCAGCAATAGATAGAAAGCATATTGCTATCAAGCTATTCAGAAATTGTTTCATTATTTTTAACTTGCAGATCTGATCCATTCAGTCACTTGTTGCATTTTCAAAAAGACTTGTTGTCTTTTTCATTTTTACACTTTTTATGGAGTTCATATGTATACATCTACACAGTGGGACTGCTGATGAGCAACCAAGTTCTGGGATGCACAGTCCACACTGATTTGAGACTGCATGCATTTTTCATCATTAATGTCCTCAAAAATAAATTAATGCTTTATACTCATGCTTAGAGCACAGAGGTAACATGGCACAATGCAGTTAATTTTCCCCCTGCCACAGGTTCCTAGAAGGGCAACACTTCAGAAAAATTTAGAGGGAATGGAGACAAGGAAAAAAGATGTGGGCAGCTTAGGAATTCTTCAAGCTATGTTCTGATCTTCACGTGTTGGTGTTTTTAAGCAAGCAATAGCCTCACAAATACACTACCATCTGACTGACTTATACAGGTAGATCTACCAAAAAGAAGAGTGAATTATCACTATAGCCATTAGAAGGCCATTTGACACATGTCATGAACATATTTCAACAAGAATCACTGAAATAGTATGAGTTTTAAGAGCATACTCTGGTGGGCCTTGTCTTGACACCACCAACAGAATTTATTACTGGAAGTCTCTGAATTAAGAAAAATAATTATTTTAAATGTCAGCTACCATCACATGAATAAACTTAGGAACAGCCTAGAAAGTGTGAAAATGACAAAGAAAAGAAAACCTTAGTTTTTAGAAAGATATCCTCAAGTATAAGAAGATAGAGTCCAAAGGAAAAGTTTCCAGGAAGGTGACCTTACACACTTCTGCTACAGAATTTTAAAAGATAAGCACATGCTTTGATGAGATTGGTGACCTGTTTGAAAGGCTATTGTAATGATCTATCTAAATTTGCTAGAAGACCATTATGAGTCCTAACTCTGAGTCACTTCATCAAAAGAAATGTCATTTGCAGATTAAGAAGTGACCTCATCTCTGGCACTACTACTCTAGGTTCACACAAAAACATATGCCACCATCTGACCCTCACCCCTCCCCAGTTTATAGGCCTGTCTCCATCTGGAAAGCTGTTCAGGGCAAAAGATTACAAAGTCCATCATAACCCCACTGCAGTCAACAGAAGAAGTGAAGTTTTAGGTGTTTATTGTAATACCTAATGGCTCAAGAACCATCCTAAAGGAGTAAACTGGCCTGTTTTGTTGACTGGACTCTTGTCACTCATTGATATATAGAAACTCAGATAATATTCCTTGGCCTTTTATGAGGATGTGTGGAGAACCCTGAAGATGCCAAGCTACCATCATAACATTTCCAAGAATCAGATTGAGTAAGAATAAATTTCTCCCAAAGATCTTTTGAGAAAACAGTCTGACAAGAGCTCAATACAGGAGTGCTTGGTTTGTCTTGAGGATGAAACTCCTGTGACCAGGCCAATACAGGTAACTAGAGCTGCCTTCTAAAAAAGCTACCATAACACATTTCAAGTACTAACTTTAGAGGTTAAAGTATTAACCTCTAAATTTAGATACATGATCCAAACCTCCTATTAGGGTTGATCTAATAAAAGACTAGCAATAGGCTAGCAATATGCTCATTCAAATTCCCAGGCACCTGATGATTTGGAAAGCAGAAGGAATAAAAGCAATCCACATGCTGAGTTTCAGAAGCAGTTTTTGGCAATGTAACAAAACCTTAGTCAAGGACAATAAGCACCAACAAGCACATTCTGCAGACCAAGCAGCCAACAAAGCCCACTGAAAGTAAGAACCTGCACAATACCAGATACTCACTAGAAGAAGCATTCTACCTAAAGGTGCCAAAAGTTTGAGAGGGCCCAAAATGGTGATTACCTTTCTACCCAACTGTGCAAAGAAATTTCCTTCAGTTCAAAGTGTTTCAAAACTAGGAAAAAAATGTTGCTTTGCATGTTTGTGCACTCTAAATCTATGTCTCCATTTATATTCAGACTCTTGATTTTCTCACATTTAGGTTTCAATTCCATTAAGTTTTCCAGTGTATAACCAAATCATAACCAAGTAACTGGTTAATCTAAAAAATTGAGAGAAAAAAAACAGTATAGTTCAATAATATTAACCAGTTAATAATACAATGTAAGAAACACTGGCACAATTGCATTCTTTTCCATCTTTCAAAATGTGATTTTTAATTACTTGCCCATTTGCAGCTGAAGTCACAATGACTCACAATGAGCAGGAACTCTTATCACAAACCAACTTCACCTAACTAAAGATGGCTTCTAATCCATTCACCATTTGGAATGCTTATTTTTTTCATTCTCAGACACAAACTCTCATAATTGTACACTAGCACAGACTAGTGGCGAAAATTCACCACTGCAGTTATATATAATGAAATTATTACACTCAAAATGAGCTGTCAGCACTAGAGATCTATTTCTTAAGGTTACTTGAAACAACTTGTCATCTTTGTATATACACATTTTATTATTAACAGTCCTCTGATTTGGCTTTCTTCTCAGAAAAACTCAACAGAATCAAAATATTTTTCTACTGATGGAGTAGAGTGGCACAACAGATACAAGCGGATTTTCAGGGGGAAAAAATAGAGATCTAAGCTTAAAGGAAATACTGAGTTTGAAATACCTGTGGGTTTTTAATAAAACTAAAATATTTGACCACTAGCTCTCCATAATCTGAAATAATACACTGGCCTCATCTGGATAAAAACTTACTAGAAATTTTAGAAGCAATATTTTAGAAATGTTTTGTCACTTATTCTTTTGTATTTCATCAAAGTCAAAATGTTTGTCTATGCCTTTCTGTACCACTTCTTTTAGCCTTTTTTCCTGAAATGTGAATGACATTCTCTGAAATTACCTCAGTGAAGATGGGTCTTGCTCTTGTAAAAACAGACATACTATATCCTCCTAATTCTTAAGTAGCTCCTATTGGTTAACAGACTTGGGAGGAGGCCTCTGACTCCAAAACAGTTTTCCAGCCAAGGTTGTGTGCAAATTAACGGAAACAGAAAACACAAATGGGCAGCTTCCTGCCAGTCATTTCTCATCACTAAAGGAACCTTTGGAGGCATGTTGGGCACTTTACAATGCCAGGAAATTGTAAAATAGAGCACACGCAGCATTTTATTTCAAAAGCAGCTAAAATAATGGAATTAGTTTAAAGCTAATACTTCCTCTTACTTTAAAGCTATTAACAGGCAAGAAGATTTAATCAGGGGTCTTTCACTAGTCCAATTACCAGTTAGCACAGTAAGCTCCAGTTGAAGCATTAGCACCTGCTGCTTGGTCCTAAAGACTAAATGCGCACTAAGTGAAAATCAGTGAAAAGAACTGGTGAGTCTATTTTTAGACTGCAAGTACTATGAATTATTTCAGAAGTAAATAATTTAAGATCCAAATTTTTGTACTTAATTTGAGAATCTGATTTCCTTCTGCAAATTCTATTATTGAGAAATAAACTTCTCTGTTCTCCATGAAGAAACTTTTATTTTGCACACTTGTAGAAAGCTGGACTAAGCAGAGGGTAGAGTTTCTACTTAACAAGAAAGTCAAAAAGATGCATTTCATATATTCCTGAAAAATATATGTTGTCTGGGAACTTGAGAAAAATGTTGTCTAGCAGCAGTCTGAGGGTGTGACTGGAAAATATTATCCATGGAGTATCTCAAAGCTAATTTAATGCATCTATCATGTACTAAGTAAATTCAAGACAACAAGCTTCCAGAAAAAGTATTACATTACATAAGTCTCAGTTTATCAGCCCACAGGAGATTAAAAGCATAAAAGGTAAACTATAAATTTTAGCCACAAAATCATAATTCAAAATTTAATCAGTACCCATGCAAGAACTAAATCAGTTGTGCACTGCATG